TTTTAAATGATTTAAATCATTTAAATCTACATTTACAAGAACATAATAAAGTAGAGAGAGATTTTGTATTTCATTATCATTACCATATAAAATCTATACTATATTTACATGTGTTTTTTGTATAACGTTGAAGTTGATGCTATATTTACCAGTCCTTTGTTTATTACTGAGAGTTGTGAATTAATGATTGTAATTGTTAAGGATTATTTTTATGCTTGTATTGTTTAGTCAGGGTAAACGTGTGTTTTTGTTTTATAATTTTGATGTTTTCCTGTTTTGAAAAGCCTAGTGTTTGTACTGTCTGCAATGGTGTGTTTGTTTCTGAATTGTACCACCTGGGCTGGACGGTAGAGCGACGGTCTCGCTTCATATAGGTCGGCGTTCAATTCCCGACAGTCCAAGTAGTTAGGTACTATTCCTTTCCCCCGTCCCATCCTAAACCCTTATCCTGACCCCTTCCAAGGGCTATATAGTCGTAATGGCTTGGCGCTTTCCCCTGATCAATTCAATTCAATTCTGAATTGTACATGTTTCTGCTTAATTGTCCTTCTGAGCTTTCGGTTTTATACAATGTGTGTGAGCAACGGGGATTGTTATGGGTACTTTCATTTGTAATTACTTTGGATTTTATAAATAAAGAGAAAAAACACTATATAATGGTTTATAGGGCAACTTTACCTGGGGCCCAGATTCACGAAGCAGTTACGCGGGCACTTACGAACCTGTACATCTTTTCTCAATCTTTGGCGGCTTTGTTTTCAATTATTAAACAATTAATGAGCTCCGAAGCACCAGGAGGCTGTTTATAACAATAACAACAGTTGATTGGCAAGTTTTCATGCTTGTAAACTGTTTAATAAATTGCTTTAGTGCTGGTTTAGTGCTGGTTTAGTCCACGTTGCTTTAGTGACAAAAATCAACACATCCAAATGTATAAACTAGCGTAAGAACATTATAATGTATAGAGAAACAAAGATATTGTATCATCATTACCATATAAAATCCATACATAAATAGTAGGTGCACAAACGCTTCGGTATTGTAATGAAGCCGTCATGTCACAGCTGTGAACGTCGTCAACGTTTATGAAAGGGCTCGTATCATTAAACTTCGGACAGATTAACACTTAGGTTGAAGGGCGCGGGGGTGAACGATAGTTTCGAAACTGTTCCTTCAGAGACTTTGTTTACACCAGTTGCTACGACCAACACCTCGCTGCCTGAAGCACAAACAATTCCATATAATTTTACTAAATAACAACCGAATTATTTAAACACAAAATATAACTAAAGATGTAACATTTAATCTTTAATTTAAATTGATGATCAACCGCGGGAAGGCGTGGGGTTTAAAATATGAAAAAGACAGTTTTGACCATGTTTACAAACCGCGACTCTGGCGCCAAGGCGTTAGTTGGTGCTTAGATACGACGGGAGTTGGTTACTGCTGCTCCTGCTCCTCAAGCTCGCTACACGGCTCAAAAACTATTCTATTCACGATTGGGTACTTCTAGTGCCATAGGAGGCGAAGGAACACGTAAATAATAGCTGAAATCGGTGAATTGTGACGAGAGATTTGCGAGTTTCTGAGGGATGATGGCTTAGGTGCGCTTCACACAGGTAAGAGACTCTTACGTACGTTGTTATTTTCCACAGGAATAACGCACTCGAAACGTTATTTATATGCATAAATGTCACTTAACATTGACTTACGACTCGGTAAGTGTCGCCTTAATAACTAAAACTGAACTAATATTTATTACTGCCGTGTTAAAATTTAATAAAAAAAAATGTATATCGTGTATTTAATCTATTTTATATTTACTTTGTTAATATTGTTGCAAACTTTACAGCTAGCAAACATCAGGTAATAATTTGTCCAATGATTTTCGAATTCTCTCCAACTCCAAAACGTTATAGTGTTTCATTTAGCTTTAAGAATTACCCAATTAAGCTTGTATATTGTTTTCTTAATCTTTGTTATGCCCGGAACCTCAGGACTACGAATCCCGAGCGCTGTCCACTCAACCGTCAGGTTCCTTACGCTAAGAAATATTGTTTAACAAAATACATGCCGGTCAGGGGGATAGATAAAGTTAGGCTCCAGCTCTTGGTCTTAGGCGCAATTTTATATTTAAACAGTTATAGCGTAGTGATGAGCACATTGAGCTCCCATCTGCTAGGTCCCGGGTTCGATTCCGAGGCAGGAGGAGACGGATGGCTACATTTTCCTTCCACTGGAAGTCCCACCTGATGCCTCTGTTCACCTAGCAGTAAGTAGGTACTCGGGGTTTGTCAGCTTGTTGTGGTGGTACATCCTTGGACGAGGTCAGTAATTTGACCCGGAGGGAAGGGAGGGGGGGGGGGGGAGACACAGATACAAGCCTAACGTGTATGACAACACCCTGGCTTCGTGTCCCCCGACACAGTGAACTATTATGATGTTAAGGACACTAAAATCCCCCCCTCCCTCGGAGTCATTAACTCCACGGTCAATGAAAGCCGTATTTCGATATATATATTTTAACAAAAACTTCATAAATCATTAAATAATTTAATAACTAAAAATAGTCATATTTGAAGTCCATTTCTTACTATTGACTTTCTCTGTCACAGAAAAATGGAACAGATAGATATAAGCCATGAAAATCGCATAGGTCCATAAATGCTAATACTGTGTTTCTTAAAGCATTTAACTTGGGCTGGGCTGGGTAAGCCTGTTAGTCCCATACCCAAGACCATTCCCCCTGCAAACGTGGATGAGATTATCCTCAAGCGTCTGGCTTTGAAGTTTGGATAGACAAACATTCTTTGTGTACTAGGGTTGTGGGGCTTACCTAACATGGCTCGGCTCTGTCTCCTTCTTTCTCACCTATTTTTAACTATATATATCCGTCCATCTACCATCTCTCCATCTATCTATTATCTGTCTATCAATTCGTGTATCCTGATTGAGGTAAAGAAAAACATTGCCAGACTTGTTGCTATATTGATAAAATAATAACAATACAGTTGCATCCTGCAATAATACAAGCCATATAATATACACTACATATATAAACAGTTTAAGCACTGGCTATTCATTATAAGAATAAGCAAACTGTGTATGACTAAGGCTAGGAAAAAGTAGAAATTAAGCTAGAAGTTAACATTCTAATTCCTGTATACAAGCATGACACAGCTGATCTGACGATCAAAACAATAACAGTCAAGCGAGCATCCATCCAGTACAATAATAGCTCTGCCCCCGATACAATAGATATGAAATTTTTACTATACACAGATCTATGCAACCATCTATCTACTTGTCTGTATTTGCCTCCCTGTCTATTTTCCTTGGTCTCCCATAAAATAAATATAATTGTCTAATGTGTGGGTGGTTGCCAGTGAGAGGAGCGCAGTGGAGTGAAATATTAAAAAAATAGTTAGCCTTATACTCTATTAACATGTTTCTCAAGCAACAGCTCTTTTAAGTTGAGGAAGAATCGTCCGGTTTATGGGAGTACGGGCAAATTATTAACAGAAAATGTGTTACTTTTTCAGAGATCGGTGAATAATGGCGCATAATACTGAGACAAAATATGGGTTTGAATACTTTTTAAAATATTTATCTGCATAGCTGGTGGGCAGAGCTTAAAATTGTTGTGGGGGTTTGAAAAATGTAGATGAATGGATATATAGATGGATAGATCGATAGACAGGGGGTATAGATAGGCAGATGAAAAGGTGAATGGTTGAACGGACTGATACATGGATATAAAGATGAGTAGATGGATAGACTGACAGAGATGGATAGGCGGATTTTATGCTTTTACAATTCTTTTAAAATTAAAATATAATAATAATTTATTTTCAACAGGTTCAGCGCGTAGGGTGACGCCATCGGCGCTGGACGAATAGGAGTCCAGTACGCCCGAGTAATGCTTATGACGTCACCATACTTTAGCCAATAGTTGTCCAGTATGCAGAGGTAAGATACATGACGTCACTACCTTCCTGTTATGTTGACATTCGATAGGCTACGTTTAGTGATGTTTAATCCTTAAACTTCGATCACAACAGTGAAAAATGGGCCTAAAATAATATAATTAATCCCGAATGAGCATTAATATATGTTTATGTAAATGGAAACATACTTTTGATAGTTATTGAGAACAATGAGTTTAGTATTGAGGGAATTCGTTTTTTTTTTAACAGTAGACATTGTATTTTGTATTCCTTTTATACAACAGATCTAGGCATTAGAGGGAGGTTTAATCTAGTCCCCCCCTTGAAGGGGGAGGGTACAGCCGCCTGTACCAAGGATATTCCTCTGTCCAGTCACTTGTATCGCCACCTGATTGAGACCTGAATCACATTAAGTAATTATGTAATGCTGAAATGGCAACCCCTCTGGTTATTACATTACGATGTTATTACAACGCAACCGCTGTGCCAAAACGTTATGACGTCGCTGTAATGTAACCGCAACGTTATGACGCCGCTGTAATGTAACTGCAACGTTATGACGTCGCTGTAATGTAACCGCAACGTTATGACGCCGCTGTAATGTAACTGCAACGTTATGACGTCGCTGTAATGTAACCGCAACTTTTATGACGTTGCTATAATGTAACCACAACGTTATGACGTTGCTGTAATGTAACCGCAACGTTTATGACGTTGCTATAATGTAACCACAACGTTATGACGTTGCTGTAATGTAACCGCAACGTTTATGACGTTGCTATAATGTAACCACAACGTTATGACGTTGCTGTAATGTAACCGCAACGTTTATGACGTTGTAATAATGTAACCACAACGTTATGACGTTGCTGTAATGTAACCGCAACGTCATTACGTCGCTACGTCTTAGAAAACGATGTAGTTACGTCGTGTTGAGAGGCATCTTGTGAATACTGCAAGGGAACCTTTACTGTGGAGTAGGTCAATGGCTGACACCTCCAGCAGGGGGCCGGAGTGCCAGTGCCGGCACTTCCTCTATACCAAGGGCGGAGTGCCTCGTCCGTGTGGATAGTGTGGCGCCTCGTCCGTGTGGATAGTGTGGCGCCTCGTCCGTGTGGATAGTGTGGCGCCTCGTCCGTGTGGATAGTGTGGCGCCTCGTCCGTGTGGATAGTGTGGCGCCTCGTCCGTGTGGATAGTGTGGCGCCTCGTCCGTGTGGATAGTGTGGCGCCTCGTCCGTGTGGATAGTGTGGCGCCTCGTCCGTGTGGATAGTGTGGCGCCTCGTCCGTGTGGATAGTGTGGCGCCTCGTCCGTGTGGATAGTGTGGCGCCTCGTCCGTGTGGATAGTGTGGCGCCTCGTCCGTGTGGATAGTGTGGCGCCTCGTCCGTGTGGATAGTGTGGCGCCTCGTCCGTGTGGATAGTGCGGCGCCTCGTCCGTGTGGATAGTGCGGCGCCTCGTCCGTGTGGATAGTGTGGCGCCTCGTCCGTGTGGATAGTGCGGCGCCTCGTCCGTGTGGATAGTGTGGCGCCTCGTCCGTGTGGATAGTGTGGCGCCTCGTCCGTGTGGATAGTGTGGCGCCTCGTCCGTGTGGATACTGTGGCGCCTCGTCCGTGTGGATAGTGTGGCGCCCCGTCCGTGTGAATACTGTGGCGCCTCGTTCGTGTGGATTGACCAATCATCATGGATAAATGTTTCATATTGGCCAATCACCTGTCGGCAAAGCCAGCCAATCGGGTACGAATTTCGTGAGAACTCTTGTCGTATGAGATTCCAAGAAAACCCAAATGGACATTGTTAGAGATGTATTGTAATGAGAACAGTCCGACGTAGTTGAGACTCGACATAATCGGTTTGTGAGAATTCAGCTTGATTGGAAATCTTGAAGGAGTTAAAGAGACGTGTTGATGAGAGATGCTTTTGTTTATACATTTACATTTATCAATTGTTTTCATTTGTGTAAGGAGTTTTACATGTTTGCATATTATAGAATCTTTCTAAAGATGTTTAACGGTAATGTAGCCTATCCTCGTAGAATCTTTATTGTTAGGCTACTTTAGAAAAAAATTATGAAATAGGCTATAAGGCCAACCTGTCCTCATGATAGTGCGTCGCATATTGACCTATTACTCTAAGGCCAAAAATTGTCGTGCTAGAAAAATGGTAGCGGCTCGCGAAATGAACATAATGTCCCGTTTTCTGTTTTGGGTCCTCTGGTAGGTTAGGATAAGGGACACTTTAGTACGACGGTTTCTTGACGTTGGGGAAACGTCTGACGTTAGGAGTATTGTGTGGCTGGTGGGGAAGATAGTGAAGGGTTGGTGGTGGTGGTGGGGAAGATAGTGAAGGGTTGGTGGTGGTGGTGGGGAAGATAGTGAAGGGTTGGTGGTGGTGGTGGGGAAGATAGTGAAGGGTTGGTGGTGGTGGTGGGGAAGATAGTGAAGGGTTGGTGGTGGTGGTGGGGAAGATAGTGAAGGGTTGGTGGTGGTGGTGGGGAAGATAGTGAAGGGTTGGTGGTGGTGGTGGGGAAGATAGTGAAGGGTTGGTGGTGGTGGTGGGGAAGATAGTGAAGGGTTGGTGGTGGTGGTGGGGGAAGATAGTGAAGGGTTGGTGGTGGGGTTGAGGGTGGTGGTGAAGATAGTGAAGGGGTTGGTGGTGGGGGGTTGAGGGTGGTGGTGGTGAAGATAGTGAGGGGTTGAGGGTGGTGGTGAAGATAGTGAGGGGTTGGTGGTGGGGGGGTTGAGGGTGGTGGTGAAGATAGTGAGGGGTTGAGGGTGGTGGTGGTGGTGAGGATAGTGAGGGGTTGAGGGTGGTGGTGGTGGTGAAGATAGTGAGGGGTTGAGGGTGGTGGTGGTGAAGATAGTGAGGGGTTGAGGGTGGTGGTGGTGGTGAAGATAGTGAGAGGTTGAGACTGGTGGTGAAGATAGTGAGGGGTTGAGGGTGGTGGTGGTGGTGAAGATAGTGAGGGGTTGAGGGTGGTGGTGGTGGTGAAGATAGTGAGGGGTTGAGACTGGTGGTGAAGATAGTGAGGGTTGAGACTGGTGGTGAAGATAGTGAGGGGTTGAGACTGGTGGTGAAGATAGTGAGGGTTGAGACTGGTGGTGAAGATAGTGAGGGTTGAGGGTGGTGGTGGTGGTGAAGATAGTGAGGGGTGAGACTGGTGGTGAAGATAGTGAGGGGTTGAGACTGGTGGTGAAGATAGTGAGGGGTTGAGACTGGTGGTGAAGATAGTGAGGGGTTGAGACTGGTGGTGAAGATAGTGAGGGGTTGAGACTGGTGGTGAAGATAGTGAGGGGGGGGTGGTGATCATGACCTACTACCATGGCTCGTCATAGTGTAGTGTAAAGGTGTAGTCAATATTCCCTGGGTAACTGTGTGCTAGTAGTGGTAATGGTGACGTACAAGGTTACAGTGTACACACGTACGTACTACAATAGTACACCTCCCCCCCCCCCAGCAGTTTACTCACTTTACATCTACACACACCTTTGGTCTTTAGTAAATCCAGTTTCAAACTAATTTTCAAACTTCCTGCCCGAAATGCTTTACGTAATAGTGGCTTTAGGCATTGTATGTACTAGTTCTATCTATAAATCCATGAACTTTTGTATCTTACCTTGTATGTATCTGGTTGATCAGTCCAGCAACCAGGAGGCCTGGTCGACGACCGGGCCGCGGGGACACTAAGCCCCGGAAGCACCTCAAGGTAAGGTAACCTTACCTGAATAAAAATTTATTTATTTATTATTATTTACTTATAATATAATCAAACTATTAAATAATATATTACCAGTGGGAGGGACGTCATTAATAACATTAACTCAGCGTGTAATAGTCTATAGATACTTGCCAATAGGTATTCTTAAACAGGAAATAGGTTGATACCTAAACTCTAACATCAAAAGTGCCGTAGGGTCTCCTGGGGCCAGATTCACGAAGCAGTTACCCAAGCACTTACGAACCTGGGGGCCAGATTCACGAAGCAGTTACCCAAGCACTTACGAACGTGTACATCTTTCCTCAATCTTTGACGGCTTTGGTTACATTTATTAAACAGTTTACAAGCATGAAACTCTGTCAATCAACTGTTGTTATTGTTATAAACAGCCTCCTGGTGCTTCGGAGCTCATTAGCTGTTTAATAATTGTAAACAAAGCCGCCAAAGATTGAGAAAAGATGTACAGGTTCGTAAGTGCTTGCGTAACTGCTTCGTGAATCTGGCCCCAGGTTCGTAAGTGCTTGCCTAACTGCTTCGTGAATCTGGTCCCAGGTTCGTAAGTGCTTGCGTAACTGCTTCGTGAATCTGGCCCCAGATTCGTAAGTGCTTGCGTAACTGCTGCTTGAATCTGGGCCAAGGTCAGCACAATTCGATGCTATTCAAACAAGGTGGTGAACAGAATTGACCTGAGGGCCACTATATTTTTTTTTAGTGGCGTCGACAAAGACAGGAAGCCGGCGGCTTCTCAAAGATCCCCCCCCCTTTCCCCATTTGTTCTGATGATTTTTTTCATGCTGGATTTTAAAATTTAATGTATTTTGGCATTTACGGCTTCGGCGGGTAGGTGGTTCCGATGAGTTTATAATGTTATTGGTGAAAAAAAAACATCCGTTTTCTGTTCTACAGTAGGCGGGAACAGAAAGAGAAGGGGTCAGATCCACGAAGCAGTTACGCAAGCACTTACGAACCTGTCCATCTTTTCTCAATCTTTGGCGGCTTTGTTTACAATTATTAAACAGCTAATGAGCTCCGAAGCAGCAGGAGGCTGTTTATAACAATAACAGCAGTTGATTGACAAGTTTTCATGCTTGTAAACTGTTTAATAAATGTAACCAAAGCCGTCAAAGATTGAGGAAAGATGTACACGTTCGTAAGTGCTTGCGTAACTGCTTTCTGAATCTGGACCCAGCTTCGTAAGTGCTTTCCTAACTGCTTCGTGAATCTGGCCCCAGGTTCGTAAGTGCTTTCCTAACTGCTTCGTGAATCTGGCCTAGGTTCGTAAGTGCTTTCCTAACTGCTTCGTGAATCTGGCCCTAGGTTCGTAAGTGCTTGCGTAACTGCTTCGTGAATCTGGCCCAAAGCTGTTACCAAGATACGGAAATATTGAATGGATAAAATGCCAGACTCCAACAAAGATTTAAATGAAGACGTGTGTGTGTGTGGCGAGAAGCAGCCGAGAATATTTGTATAGATTCAGGCCATCAACAGCTCGTATACAGCCACACCTCTTACAGCAGAGTCATCAGATGTAGTGCTAGGAAACACGCGCGCACACACACACGCGCACACACACGCGCGCACACACGCGCGCGCACACGCGCGCACACACGCGCGCGCACACGCGCGCACACACGCGCGCGCACACGCGCGCACACACGCGCGCGCACACGCGCGCACACACGCGCGCACACACGCGCGCACACACGCGCGCACACACACGCGCGCACACACGCGCGCACACACGCGCGCACACACGCGCGCACACACGCGCGCACACACGCGCGCACACACGCGCGCACACACGCGCGCACACGCGCGCGCACACGCGCGCGCACACGCGCGCGCACACGCGCGCGCACACGCGCGCGCACACGCGCGCGCGCACACACACGCGCGCGCACACGCGCGCGCGCACACACGCGCGCGCACACACGCGCGCGCGCACACACGCGCGCACACACACGCGCGCACACACGCGCGCGCACACGCGCGCGCACACGCGCGCGCGCACACACACACACACACACACACACACACACACACACACACACACACACACACACACACACGCGCGCACGCACACACACACACACACACACACACACACACGCACCGCACACACACGCGCGCACACACACACATTCTCTCTCTCTCTCTCTCTCTCTCTCTCTCTCTCTCTCTCTCTCTCTCTCTCTCTCTCTCTCTCCTCCCCCCCCTCCCCTCTCCTCCCTCCCCTTTCCTCCCTCCCTGCTTGAACACCTTCTCATAATAACTTTACCATCATATCTCCTTGCTGTTCTCTCTTCACCTTTTGTTCCCCCACTCCTCCCATTATTTTCCCCTCCTTCCTCTCTCGTTCTCTCCATTGCTTTCTTTTTACCTCTCTCCTTCCTGCCTGTTCTTCCTTCCTCCCTCCCTCCCTCCCACAGTGGTCGAGTAGTGGTGAATCTACGTTATTGACGTTGATAATGACCCAAAAATCTATTGGAAACACTTTAGGGACAAACCCAAATATCATTCTTCATAGGAGTCCCTCGTTGTCGCCATAAGAGCCAACCCTAATTAATGAGGGACATGGGGGTCGACCACCCTATGACACTCCTCTCATGACCACTGGTCATCATGCAAAGTTCCATTAGGCTAGCTACTTGCTGCTGGCCTCCAGGCTTGGATAAACACATTTTTTGTTGTGGTTGTTGTGGTAGTGTATGTGGTTGTGTAGGTATTGGTGGTTTCGATGGTGGTGGTGGTGGAGAGGGATAGGCTGGAAGGATAGTTGGGGGGAAGGGTGGTTAGTGAGGCGTAGTTCAGTGTGAGTACCAGAGCTGCGGTGAGAGGCAGCGGCAGTAGTCCTTAGTCAGTGGTGTTGATAGTTCCCGCTCCTGCGGTGGTGCTATAGTCTCAGGGGACACAGCGCCCCACGAGAACCCACACCACCAGCAGCCCCACCAACGGTACCCACACCACCAGCAGCCCCACCAACGGTACCCACACCACCAGCAGCCCCACCAACGGTACC